AAACAGAACTCCGTCTTAAAGTTTCCTGGTGTAATTGTTCATAGGTAAATTGGGTCCGGTGAGGATGACTTTCGGTCTGTAAATTCGGATAGCAGGTGGGGCATCCGTGCCAATAGCATCCGTAAAATTCGTAGACGGTGCGAGTGGCTTCCTGGTATCCGTCGACGGTATAACTTCCGATCTTGACTTCTCCCCCGTTTCTAGCATGTTGGATGTGAGATCCGGTCTGGTGACTCATCCAGCTTAACCACCGACAGGCTTTGGCGGAATATCGACGCGCAGGCTGATACCCCAGGTTGGGAATGATGGCAATGGTCTCTTTGGGCATGAATCCTCGACGGTAAGCTAAATTGGCCGCACTGGCAAAAGTGATGGATTCCTGGAAGGGGTCTACATGGACCAAGCTCTTGAGGGTGGTTCTAAACTGAGCACAGCATCGTCGTAAAATATCGACGTCTGAAATACAATAGTCTAAAAATTCCTTCTGGAAGTCAAACACTTTTCCGGCTTGTTGTTCGTACCATTGATAAAAAGCCTGTCGTCCACTAATAGACATGTCGTCCGGATTGTAGTAAGCTGCCGGTGGATAAGGCCCCACGTAATTCTGGTTGTGTTCCGTATTAAAAAAGTGTGGAAAATACCCTTTCTTCAGTTCGGTGAATCCGAAAGCAGAGGGCATCTTGGACAGGGCAAAAGGTAAAAAATTATAGGAATCGATGAATTTCAGACAGCAGATTTGCATGGATAAGATTTTACTGCCGTTCATGATGACGGTAGGTTTCAGGCAGGCGGAATGAACCAGGTAATTTAAAATGAACTGTCCGTCGTATCCTTTGAAATTGTGGGCGATGATGATGGCCTCGTCGTGTAATAAAACGGAATTCTTATTTCCTGTAGTGGGTTGTAATAACCAGTCCATGAACTGCCTTAAGGTCTCTGGCCCTCGAAACACGTGTTGACGGGGTCCCATGTGTCGACAGTGAGGACAGGGATCTTCTATGGGTAAGTGACCGCAATGTTGACATACGCGGTGTGCCACACACAGGTTAGGGACGTGGATGCCGGTTTCCTGGGTGCATTCGAAATCGAAATAGATGTAGAACTGTAAGGTCTCTTTACCCTTCTTTTTCTTTTTCTCAGGCTTGAGTTGAACGTAGCACTGATGATCCGTGTCTACGGTTTTCTTACAGATCTTACATTGTTTCTGTCCTCCGCAATGATGATGAGGGAGTAATTTTTTAGGCATCCATTTCTGACAGTGCCTACATCGTCCCATTAAACTGCATACGGTGGTGGCCGTATTGTTACTGTGAGGTTGCAGATGATTTTCGTAGCAAGTCCTACTCTGAAAAAATCCCTGGCACTGGCTACATTGAATGCGGCTCCCGTCTGGAGGGCAGGGAGTGTTAGTTAAACAAAAATTACATCGGTGAGGGCACTGGGTACGATGGTCTGTGATGTTTCTGTAGCCCACGTCGCAATGATCACAATAGTATGGGTTGCCCGTCACACCTGGCATAGATATGATGGCATCGTAATGCTGGTCGTCTAACAGGACATTCAAACAAGTTCCCTCTCCGTAGCCTTTGTAAACGGGTTCTAAGGTGAGTTTAGAGGAGGTGGACTTGAACTGGAGTATTTTCAGTCGATAGCATGGGGCTAACACTTGTTGTAATTTTCCCCATTCTTCGGGTCCACAAGGCCGATGGATATCACACCCGGCTTGTTCCATGAGAGCTAGGGCTTCGTTTTTCTGGTCTAAATATTTGTAATCACCCTTCCGCATACGTATCCATTGCTTTTCCCATTCGGGGTCTGGATGTTCAGGTTTTTGACAGTGTAACCGGGTGACTACGATGGCTCGAGCTAAACAAAACTTATCCCAGGGATTGTCGATCTGAACGATGGATTGTTTCCTCTTCTTAAAACTCTCCTTGTTGACCATCAGATGTTTGGTTTTGTCTCCACCACTCCCTTCCGGATACTTGACCCGAAACATGTTGAATTCCATGGCCCCGTCTCCCAGTTTAAAATCTTTCTTGGATTGTTGCACAGCTTCTATTTTGTCTAAAATGACGTCCTCGTTTAAATGTTTACATTGCGTAAACTCGTACCAAATGTCGGAATCCAGAGAAGGATGGCGTATGTTCAGGCGTACGTAATCGTTAGGATTACACTGCATTTGATATTTGACATTTTGTAGCATGTCTCTAAATAATCGCCGAACAAAGCCTCTGTTTTCCTCCTCTGGAAATTCCTTAAAATTCACACTGTAGACATCTTCTTTAGCTTTAAATTTTCTGGAATGCTTGGCTTGATTCAGTCTCACTTGATAATATTGGGAAATGGCCTTTGGCTTCTGGGGTGGTGAATGGGTTGATGAGTGTGGTTCTTCATCCGACACAGTCCTTTGTTGTTCTTGTTGGACTTGGGCTCTCTGCGTTCTCTCTAATATTCTCGCATTTCTTTTTCTGAGCGCTAATTCTCTGTGTTTATTGTTGTAAATAATTCTTTCTAACTCTTTCGCCCGTCTTCTCCATCTCATCAGTTGTTGGGCATGTAACAGTTTTTTCATAGCAGAATCCATGTCGACAGGTGATGGAACTGACAACAGAATGAGCTTCAAGTCAGACACATGCAATACTTATACAGTGTATGACGTCATAATGGCTAGGTTTTTCCAGGTGAGTGCTGAGCTCGTGCAGGTTTTTCCAGATCTCACATCTCATATCTCAGAACGTGCTGAGCGCGTGTGGGTTTTTCCAGATCTCTGACCTTGACCTCGGGGGTGCACTGAGTTGACCCCCCCATCCCCCCAGGGCCCAAAAGTGCACTCAGTTGACCCCCCTAGCTAGACCCCTTATACTACTTGCGTTCCCACGCCAAAAGCATGATATCTTTTAATTAACCATATACTTAGTATTTTACTCATAATCTTGATACTTTATTTACATCTCAACGGCCCCTAACAGCATGACCCCAACATGGATGTCTGGTCCAGTTTTGGAAGTTTACATTCCAAGGCCACATAGGGCTATTTAGGATCGTTGAAAGGTAAATAAAGTAACAAGATTGAGAGTAAAATATCTATACTTATAAATTAATAAATTTTGCAAATAAACTCCGAAACGGGTGCACCAGAGTTCTTACTTACTCCTCTGACAATACACTGTATACAAGATGATGTCCGTAAACTATATTTCAATTTCACTCGCATAGTAAGTATCGTACATTAAATTAAAAGTCTACTTTTATTTTCTATAAACAGCCATGAAATAGCAAAAACATGAGTACGGTGGCGTTTCCGGTTGGCGGATCTAAGATACTGGCAATTTTTAATGAAACTGACAACAAGCAATCATTTATTTATTTCATAAAACGTCATCACTGAATTATTCAATCAAAACTTGATTTAAATGATATAAAAGAAATAAGTTGTGATAACCGATTAAAAGGGGAAATGTGCAAATTAATTTCGTCATACACCGATCTTAATATTGATGGAAGCTTCTAGAACATCATATAGGATCGAGCCCGATGTTAAAAAGAAAAAAGAGGCGATCATTTAAAAAAAGCTTTTGTATGAATGGCCATTGAAATAATGGTAAATCATTGACAACACTATCAGATTTGAATATATTTATATATCGAAAGACTATATATTACATGTATGTACAAGTGTAGTAGGTTTTTCTAATAAATTCATCGGTAAAATTTGTATATATTCCTTACTGAGAGCATCGTGACAACGAACCCGAAGTACAATTTGTACTTCGTAATAAACTTACTTACATGAAATGAGAACATTAATGACCAAGGCATTGTTCAAATACAATTAAAGCTGTGTAAAATTTTGTGCTTTAATCAATACATTTCAGTTTTCTTCTGAATACAGTCTTTTGTATCAAGTACTCGGTCTAATTCATAGGACATTAAAAGCTAATTTTTACACAGACCCTGTACTTGGGTCTTGGTTTATAAATACGTATCTACCTTATTAATACGTAAAAAAGTAAAGTACATTTTTTACATATCAATAAGGTACATACATATTTATAAACCAAGACTCAAGTAACCCCCCCCCCCCAAAAAAAAAAGTTTATCAGTAAAATGCGCATATTCGCTGCTTTTATCCTTGACGGAAATGAAATAAGAGCATCTGAATAACAATATCCATAACATAGTATAACAGGTTTCACAATAAACGTCAATTAATGAAATTGTCAAGTTTTTTTTTACAGAAAGGGGGGATTAAGGGGGAGTGGGCGGTGGAGACGTACGTCTTCTTCATGCGGGATTTTGAATAAAGTATTTCTTCCTGCTATAAGCCTGTAGGCTGTCAGTAATACTACAATATATTTCCTGTCGTTAGTGGTATAAATTTAATTCCCCGCGCTTGCGCGGGATTTCATCTAGTATTGTTAATAAGCGGATATCATGCTTTCAACGTGGGTACGCATTATCGCATACAATACAAATATAATACCCTTAGCATGACAAGAAAGCGTTGCCGTAAATCGAAGGTTTTTACAATGCTTGGATCTGTAGCTCTCAGGTTTGTCTGTCCGAATTTTCTCAACTGAGAGCAACAGTTCTAAAGCTAATCTATCGGTTACAAGGAGATTTTGAGTGACTAAGGTGACCTAAAAAGAGACATGATTACATAATACGCATTTGAGTTTTTAAAGATTGACTAAAATAAATTTATGTTAAAAGCATTCAGAAGTTTCAGTTATCTAACAAATACTGATACAATATATACACTGAAAGTTTATTTAATTGATTATAAATATAAATCTTACTTGTATCTTTACTGCATTGCCATACTATTACATTGTACATATATTTGTTTAAATATTTTTGCAGTAGTTTGTTTTGAAGACTTCAAATTGGTCACAGAGACGAATTATATTATACAAGAAATTAGCTACATGTACCAATTATAAGGATGAAACAGGGTAGTTTCTCTAGCTGTTAATAAATTGGTTGTTAATTTTTACCTTCGATTGAAGATTTATTCTCTGGCACATACATATCTTCTGATGCTGCCCCTGGCGCCATCTCGCGGGCTAAGATTGTATAAGCTGTGTTATTTGCCCTTTAAAATCAAAATAAGGTTGAGTGACTTTCAAGGGCGTTATCTGTAATTCATTGTGTTTTAAATACAGTGTAAATTCTTAGCATTTTATAATCAAAACAGTTTAGTTAACTCGTTTGTTACATACCTATTGTATACAGTCATGAAATGCCCTCCTCCAATTCCGCAACTGTGGGTGTTTTCTACACACTGACAAAGAATTGTGGCGATAGCTGCATCTACCACAGATCCTTGTCGCCGCCCCATTATATCTCTGAAATCGTTTTTACATTTAATTATTCATTTCAATAATTAAAAGTGCCCATCGATTCCCTAATGAAACTAGAGTGTTCCAAGGAACACATGTGTCGCCTGCTTTGTAGCTTCATTAAAGATGTAAATAAACCTCGAGTCTAATTTATTTTCTACTAGCATTATAGTTCATGCATTTGCCTGCAAAGAAAAAAAACAACAACCAAGAATAGTATACGACTGAGATAGAATCTGTCAATCAAAGGAAATAAAGGTCCCCAACCCTCAAATGAATAAATAAATTGAAATTATTAGAAATAATTATTTATCAGTTTATCAGTATAAATCTTATACGGTACCAATTTATCAATTATCAGTCTACGCGATCCATTGTGAAATACCGATTTCGATGGGTTTTTTTTTTCATATTACTTAAACAAAGTTGGTTTGGTAACTGAAGATCATACATTTTCAAAGTAAAGTATCATGAGCTTATGAACATGTATAAATGCTTATTATCAAATCCGTGCCTCTCAAAATTCAAAAGACATAAATTAAGTTAAACTGTGCGGGGTATTTTTTTTTGAAAGTAGGTCAAAGGTCAAGGTGAAGTGGATTGTAACGCTGGTATTTTCATAATGTTTTATGATAAATAATGCACGTGCTAAATAGCATAAACTTACCTTTTAAATATCACAAATATACTGTATATTTGCATTATGAACTATTTTGAAAAGAAGGTCAAGGTCAAGGGTCACGAGGTCAGTAACCATGGTAATTTACAAAAGCCATAGTGCCAAGCAATATATGTGCAAAATATCAAATCCATACCTCTTACAGTTCTCGAGCAATAAGGTGTGATATACAGACATGCAGACAGATAGACAGACACCGGGTAAAGTGATCCCTAAGTTTCGCTCTGTTTTGCAGGCGACACAAAATATGGTGCTTGTTTTTTTCCTTTAAATGTTCTTTGAAAACTTATGCGATTACCTTTAGAGTTGTTTTAATTCATCTTTATTGTTCATCCGTAGGTAATTTATAGCTTTGTGAAAAATATACAGAGGTTAAATTTAGAACTGTCAAGCCATTCAGAAAACACTGTAAGTATCCAGGAAGTAAAATAAGAAAAACATACATGCCAATTTCTGCGCAAGTTCCGGTGTCAGATGCTATAGCGGCGTATCGATAATGTCCCTCGATAGATGGAGATCCCTCTGGAGCGGGTTTGGTGGTGGTGGGTGAAATTCCTGTGGAGGAGGTCCCCGATTCCGTCCCTGTTTCTCCACTGGGCGTTTGGTTGGAACCCTTGTCTCTAGTTAGCACAAACCCAAGACCAAGTCCAAGGGCAACAATACAGGCAATAATGAGAAAAGTGGCGATGATAATTAAACGCCCTTGAGACATTTCTTTGGACCTGTTACACAACCAGAAAAGTTTTATTACCTTCTCTATATATAAATACATGTGATTCGTGAAGTTATAGAAGATGTTTATTTTTTTGTATGATTGAGTCACCTACAAACTGTACTTACGATCACTCTGCTTGGCGTGCATTTTTTATACATGTGAAGTTCCTGATGTCTTTTGATCTTGAAATTGACCAAATGTAAAGGACCCTTATACACTAAAGCAAAATGTTTTTTGGACATTGAGAAAATTATATTGTATAAAGGTGTAATTATTGAGTTTATCTATTTCATTCTCAACATTTATCTACAGGAAAAATGTTCAAACACAACTAAGTATTGATGAACAGAAGTCACCATTGTTTACGTAAGTTGGGAAAATGCATGCAAATAAAGTCTTGAATTAATGTATTTTGGTTTATTAAAATGTTAAGAATTCTTTAATTGATTGCAAATTGAGAAATACACTGTAGATTTTAATTTATTTTATTTTTGATCTAAGGGCAGATCACTTTAACCATAAAAATACACCACAGAATTAGAACTTCTTAGTGTGCAGTGTTTAGAGGGTTATTAAGAAAAAAGTAAAATTTTCCCATCAGCCACACCTTAGATTTTTGAACCGATTGACGCAGGGATTTGTTCATTAACAATCTTTTGTAAAACGCAAGCATTAGAATATCTTATGACCTTTAGCATAACTTTGGACCTACATTTCATAAATAGTAATGTTTTAGTCCATATTCTTTCCTTAACGAGGCCGAGTCTAATTATTTCTACCCTAGATATTTTGATAAATTTTCTTGAACGAATTTTTACTATTGTATTAATTATTTTAAGATAAAAATATCAAATGTTTACCATCCCGATTTCTAAGAGGGCCATCTTACTATTGGACCCTATAGGAATTTGTTGGAAAAGCGCCAAATAATCAAATTTTCCCCATATTTTTTGTATTTCTGCCCTAGGGATTTCGTTTTCAGTCAAATACATGAAAGTTATTGTAAAAAGTCACCAAATTGTAAAATTTCAAAAAAGTCGACCATCCGGTTTGGTTTAGGAATTATTACAAAGTTTATTTTTTCCCAATGCCCAATACCTCTAAATTTGGCATTTTGCGGTATACATTTTGTATATATCGGCGCAGATGAATTATTTTGGTAAAAAATAACAATGTTTAGATTGCTAGTATGTTTTTTTTATGTTCTGTCAACAGTGTTTAATAAAATGTCCATGGACGTCTTGAATACTCAAGCGAGTCAAGCGTTATTCTTCAGCGTCATGCATTGCTTACAGAACCGGAAAACAGTGACGTCGAGAAAGCCATTTCAGCATTTTTTCCCCCTAAATATAGTCTTAAAAGCACATTTTCAGACACATAAACATTATAGATAATGTTAATTTTGTATTACAATTACAATACTTGGATAGGTGTTATGTTGCAGATGCGACTGCATGAAACTAAAAAGCTGCGCAAAATCATGAGCACTGGAATTAGACTCGGCCTCGTTAAAACATTTTTTTCAATCTCTTAAAGCATGATAAATTGCGTTTTGTTTAGCAGATGACCTACCAATTACAAATCTGAAGTTATTGAAAAACAATGACCTTGATCTACGACCGTATGGTTTACATTGTTAAAAGTATTTATCCCCTTTAATTTTAACATGATCTAAAACTTGTGATTTTTTTTAAATCGTATGTTAAAGTACGATTCTGGTTCTCCCAAAAGAACCGCTGGGCCAACTATACAAAACATTCCTGAGTAGAGTGGATTAATAGTGTCAAGCACCCTTCCAAGGGGAGATAATAAATGATATTAAAAATATAATGGTGTCATTTTAAAATCTTCTCAAGAGCTACTGGGCCAGAAAGATTGAAGTTTGTTTATGGCAATGCACCATGGAATATTGGGTCACAATGATAGGTAAACTTTTTCGATAATTTGTGGGATAAAATATTTTTAATATCATCTCGAGAACAACAAGGCCATAATAAATCATACTGATATGCAAGCATCCTCATGTTTAGATTTTTTTTTTCAAATCATGGCCCCGAGGATTAAGATGGAGCCATAATTGGTAGTCAAAATTTTACATGGGAATAAGTAGGGAAAAAGCTTTTTCCAACTCTCCAGGGCCAGAATTAGTCATGTTGATATGCAAAATCTTCGTGTAATTTAGGTTCAAATTTGTTTAATCATGACTCAGGGTCAAAACGAGCTTACGTTTTGTAATGAGCAAATTCATACACGCTTTGAAGGAAACTTCTTCAGAATCTTCTTTAGAAGGGGTGAAAAAATCGGTAAAATATGTACGAGGAGTGTTCCAAAAATAATGTCATTTCACCTTCTTCGCGTGAAAATCGTGTAATTATCTTACTGAAGCTACATTGACTTGTTAGATTGATCACTGAACCGAAGCAGAAGAAAATTTCATGTTCACAATTTCACTGAGTTAGCTACAGTGTACATTACTTTATAGCGTGTACATTACACTATACTCAAATTGCCTGGAAAAAGAGCAAACAATGCACTTAAAATTAGGCCTATATAAAAGGTAGGTTCTTACTTGGCATTAAACCCGTAGATATTCATCGTGAGGCCGTGATCGGAAGGTCGTGTGCTTGAATCACGGCCGCGACTGACCTAAGTCGATAAAAAATAGGTAGCAACTGTTCCTTTGCCAAGCGCTCGGCACTTTGAAGTGAAAGTTGCGGGTCTTTTGGATGAGACCTTAAAAACCGAGGACTCGTGTCAAGGTAGGCGTTGGCACGATAAAGAACCCTCACTGCTCAATGGCCCTGAGTGCCGAGTAAAGGACTAAATTTGAAGCCCTTCACCGGTATATGGTGACGTCTCTATATTAGTGAAAAATTCTCGAACGCGACGTAAAACAACAATCGATCAATCATCGTGAGGTCTGTGATATCTATGGGAATGGTCAAATGGTCTGTTTGTAGGTAGGTTGCTAAATTTAAAACAGGTTACGAACACTTTAAAGATGCTGCTCGCCAAGGTGGCCCTGCAACAGTTACAACCAATAATAACATCGTAAAAAATCACCAAATCTTAAAAAAGACGCAAGATATACCGTGAGGCAATTGGCTCGGATGACAAACTTGTCGTTAGCACGTGTTCATGGTATTTTGAAAAAAAAAATCTAAAGCTTAGAAAGATAAACGCTAGGTGGATACCTCATTTACTTGTACTTGACAACGAACAAAAAAAAAAGTCCGCGTTGAAAATGCAAAGAAATTATTGAAATTGTATCCAAAATATACCGAAAAGACTTTTGATAATTTAGTTACTGGTGATGAGACCTGGGTATACTATTTTGAGCCAAAAAGTAAGAGTTCTAACAGATTCTGGAGATTCTGGAAAGTCGTCGCCCCAAAATGGGAATGAAGTAGTAGTATCTCCGACTTCTGCACGACAATGCGCCTGCACACAAAGCATGCATTGTGACCGAGTATTTGGAGGCGGAAAAGGTTACTGTCCTACCACACACCCCTTTTTTTCCAGATTTAGCCCCGTGCGACTTCTTTCTGTTCCCCAAACTTAAATTTAACCTATCTGGAAAAAGATACAAATCAAGAAATGCCCTTGGAT